AATTATATTGAGTGGCATAGGACATCTGGTGATATTGTAATTGACCTGTTTTGGACACACCCCATTAATATTGATATTTTGTGCGCATTTCCACATGTACTTATCATGGATTGCACCTATAAGACTAATAGGTATCGTTTCCCACTATTGCAAATTGTGGGGGTGACATATACTAATATGACATTCTCTGCTGCATATATGTATATGAATGCTGAGAAGGAAGACAATTACACATGGGCATTGACTGCGTTGAGGAGTTTGTTGGATGATAATTGTCTTCCTGGTGTTATTGTCACCGATCGAGAGTTAGCACTCATGAATTCTATTACGTCTATATTTCCAAAAGCACGACATTTATTATATAGATGACATATTAACAAAGGAGTATTGGCAAACTATAAGAAGTTATTTGGGACCCTCAAACAATGGAAGCAATTTAATGAGGATTGGAATACTTTGGTTGGTTCAGAAACGGAGGAGGAATATTGGCATTGTTTGCGACAAATTAAGTCTAAGTTCAGTGAATTTCAAAAAGCTCTTGAATACATACATGAAAATTGGTTAAATCCATTTAAGGATAGGTTTGTGGCCGCATGGACAGACACTTGTATGCATCTTGGATCGACGACCTCAAATAGGTAAGTATTTTAGTCAACTTTTGATATGTTAATTTGAAAATTTATTTTGCTTCAGGAAAATTTATTATTGTTATCAACAAAGCGGAAAGTGCACATGCAAAGTTGAAGCAACAGCTCCGCTCAAGCCAACTTAACTTTGAGAGATCATGGGTAACTATACACTCATTGTTAGAGCTGGAGCACACAGAGATTAAGGCATCTTTTGAAAAGAGTCGATATTTTATTCAACATAGGTTCAGGCATCTGGAGTTGAGAGAGTTAGTAGGTTTTGTTTCTATAAAGGCTTTGAGTGTAATTGTGTGCGAGTTAGAAAGGTAAATTCAGTTTACTTATTGCATGTACATATATGGTTTACAAAAGGCATGTGAAAGGTGTTCGTTTCGAGATGCCACCTTTCAACAAATGTAGATACCACAATCTTATCAGCATTCCGATAAGAACACCTAATAAGGTGCTCTAATTCAGATATCTAAATGTACCCTTTGATTATACCATTATTTGGATTACCCCACCAATTCCACTCACGAAGGATAGATGTTTTCGACATGCACCTAAAGGGCTCATATTCCTAGTTAAACAAAAAAACAAAATTAAGGTTAATTACCATGAACCATACTTATATTCTACATTCTATTGTCACAGTAAAACGACTTACCTTGTTATTCCAAATTCCAGCTGCCATGTGAGTTTTAAAACTCGTAAGTAAAGATAGATTAATGGGACCTACTCGAGATGGCTCAATAGGCTCGGCATGTACCTCAACATTACTATCTTGAGTAGCAGCTACATCTTCAACCTCTGCGTCAACATTACTATCATGAGTAGGAACTACATATTCAACTTCGATAGTATCCTTAATGTGATCTTGAGGAGCCGCTCTCTGTCTCCTCGTTGAGGCCGTGAGACGCTGTCTATTAGGTCGGGATGATGAAACTTCAGTAGTATCTCTGCGAATCCTCTTTATATCTAAAAATAAACAATATTAAGTACACACTCAGTAACGTATTCGGTACATAATCACTGAAAAATGGAAATAAATTCGGTGGACAATGAGTGAAAAAAGAATACATATTCGGTGGAGTACCACTGAAAAACCGAAAGAAATTTGGTGGGAGTCCCCTGAAAAATAGAAACAGATTCGGTGGACTACCACCGAAACAAGGTAACAATTTCGGTGGTAACCCACCGAAAGTACAGGTTTAATTCAGTGGACCACCACTGAAGAAATGTAATCATTTTGGTGGCAATCCACCGAAACTAGAATCCATTTTCGCAAAAAACTACCCACAACGTTGAAATCAAAATCAAAATCAATATCAGACTTTGGCTTTTCAAAAGTGAAATCAAACGTAGACTTAATCAACACTTAGAAACGTAAATATATAAATCAAATTTGAAATCAAACCTTGAATAAGGATTTGTGAGAACTTGACCTTCAATGGCTTTCGGGTTTGCAGAGATGGAGATGGGTGTGATGGTTCTGTTTCAGAGATGGTTCGGGTTTGCTGGGTTGTGCAATGGGGTTCGGTGGTGAGCAAAGATCTGCGATGGCAAAGGGATCAGTTCTTCGATGGAGGCGATGGCAAAGGGATGGGTTCTTCAATGGTTCCGCGATGGAGGTTGTTGTAAATGTGATGGGGTGTGTCTGCAAGAGGAGAAAATTTTCGATGGGGTGGGGCTGGATATCAGATGAGGTGGGGTTTGATTTTAGATGGGGTGTGGCTGAAAGGGAAGGGGGTTTTCGATGGGTGGTTAGGGAATGGGGTTTATAAGGGCAATTTAGAAAAAAAAAAGGGTTTAATGTAATTTGAAATTTTATTAAAATTTAGTGGGGTGTAAAGAGTAATTTATGGGGTTCATATAGAATTACCCAAAGGAAAAACCTCTATATTTTTTTACTAAGAAAATGAATCAATTATGTTTAACGTTTGTTGGAGAGATCTAATCCAGTGAAAAGGATTTTGACTTGCAGATTTGAGATCTCAAGTTCGAACCCTCATGGCATCTTGGTTATGTGTGTGAAAACTCCATATTCTCAATAGTTTAAATTATAGAAAATTAGTTAAATACCCATTTCTAGACATAAAACTATAAAAAAACCCTATACTATTTAATGTATATAAACACACCCAAAATAAACCCAAAAA